TGATGGTCAGCGTGTGTTGACTGGTATTTGCAGGTTGATGGTCAGCTTGTATTGACTGGTATTTGCAGGTTGATGGTCAGCGTGTGTTGACTGGTATTTGCAGGTTGATGGTCAGCGTGTATTGACTGGTATTTGCAGGTTGATGGTCAGCGTGTGTTGACTGGTATTTGCAGGTTGATGGTCAGCTTGTGTTGACTGGTATTTGCAGGTTGATGGTCAGCGTGTATTGACTGGTATTTGCAGGTTGCACGCCTCATCAACATTGCCCTCGAGGACCACTTTCCCGCTATCAGAGGAGGTTGATGGTCACTTTCCCTGCTATTTGCAGAGTGAGGATAATAGCAGAACCTGGTCGCTACTTTGTGTCATCGTGTGCGACCCTGGTCGTAACAGTTATCGGAAAGAAGGTGATCCAAGGTAGGTACGCTCAACATAAGACATCAAGTTTTCGGTGCAGGCAACGACTACATGGTTATTCTCTTGTATAATTTCTTCAGCATATGTGTCTGTTAGTACTTTTGGCTGAATAACTTTTCGCAGGTCTGGATGGTTGAATGTGGAGATCTTTTATAAAAATCAGCTTCAATATGGAGAATCACAGCGATCTCTTTGATATGTGATATCAAAGTATAAATCACTGTTTGGAAATAATTTTTGAAAATAAAAACCTAGACTTTTGCGACCATATATTGTTTTTTAAAAAAATGTTATGATTAACATAAATTTCAAATTGGAACGAAATCGGTGAAGAAAAAATGTCTTTATAAGATTCTGCCGCTACTCGGCGTCAATTATAAAGGGTCAAATGATATATAGCACATGTAAAGAAACGTTTCTCAGAAATAATAGAACTAAGAGTGTCAGCATAATGTTAAAAGTGTTGACAGATGTGACACAGCGTGACATACAGACAAAAAGTTCAAACAGCACTAGCAAACATCAGTTGTTTTGACCAAAACACACACACACACACACACACACACACACACACACACACACACACACACACACACACACACACACACACACACACACACAGAGAAAAAAATGAAAATGACAGACATGAAGCACTCGGTCATTCAATATCTTGTGTACCCTTTTCGCTTGTCCAAGACACAGGTGCACTTTGTTCTGTCTGAAGATCTGCTGCGTTAAGGAATATGTTACGTAACGTAGTGTTAATCATGTGTCTATAATCTCGGACTGCTGTGACGCAGGGGCGAACGATGTGCATATTCCATGCATATTCCATGCATATTCCATGCATATTCCATGCATATTCCAGGTACCCTTTGGCTTGAAATCTCTGCCACAATCTATGAATTGCACTCTGCCTCACATTAAACGGACAGCAACCTGCCGCTGAGTTTGACCAGATTCCAAAAGGCCTGTACCCTGACCCCTTTCAGCAAGTGTTAGAACACGTCTCAATTTAAGCTGCGATTTCAAACAGGTACCTGAACAGTGAACGACAGTGAAAAAGCTTCAGTGCATGTGTATGGTCCTTCCACATCCATGGATAGAGCGACTTGCACGGGCAAATCATTGCCATTAAGTGGCAGGTGGATTTCCATATTGACAATTTGAATAAAAAATGTGGCAGAGGTTTTAATTCAGTTGTATATATTTCAAACAAAAACGAATATTTTACAAGTTTTCGGAAATAGTGTTACCAATAGCTTGACTCTTCATTAATGACGCCGAGTATATATAAAATACACAAGTGGTGGCACTCCCGATGCTAATAACCTGATCGAAAACCGGGCAGACCGACTATTTTAACGTGCGTTCAATCAAACCTTACGTTTCTTACAAGACAATTGTGTTGAGCTTGTAGGTCATTCTTTTACCTTTCTGTTCATCGTATTCAATTTGTCTTACTGCATTTCAGTTTTGACCACTGACCCTTGCATTGGTACTACCCTCTGCTTTGAACAAACGTTTGGCCTCTCCTCGGAAAACATCGACAGTTTCCGTAAATTTCCGAATGACTCGGAAACAGAAAACGGCTCTCATTTGTCAATTTCCATGTGTGCGATTATTGTGGGAAATATGAAAATTGTGCTTTCCCCCTACCTGGAAACTGATCAATATGTATTTTAATCTGTCAATCTGTATTTCGGTACATTGTTTATACACATTCAGGAAACAATATGCTTTCTATGTTCCAATGCGTAGAAAATAATCATGGACGGGTATTCAATTTCTTTAGTATTTGAACTGTTTAGCAGTAGTGGAAACTTAAGCTTGTTTGGATGGACATAAATTTCTTTTATATATTTGCTTCGAAGATTACTGTAGGGCATACAGGAAGAAAATGATACAGCTGCATTTGAATTAAATAATTGACAAGTTCTATATTCTCTACGAATTCACATTTACATATATACCTTTCCAGAGACTAAAAGATATGTATTTTCAAAATTGGCAAGAAAAAGTATCTATTTCAAACAAATATGACACTTAGCTAATGTTTAAAAACAATATCCACACCGAATTCTATTTATCATGTTTAAATGTGAATAATTTATAGAGTAAGTTTAGCACGATTCCGATGCTCATCTCATGAATTTTTAATATGTTAATCATAACATAATAAACAATATATATACATGATTGCAAAAGTCCAGATTTTTATTTTCATTAAATTATTGTCCAAACAGTGAACCCCTTTGTTGGTAATAGTGATAACTAGTGTCTTCAGTGTAGCCGGCTTCAGAAGCAGATGGTGAGTGAGTGAGTGGCCCCGGGTCTTCGGCATGACGAGCAAACGCTTTAGCCACTAGGCTACCCCACCGCCCCCAGAAGCAGAAATAATATTGATAGTATATGACACCTTGTTAGGGGTTAACTTTAGAATTGTCTTCAAAGCGCCGTTACGTAATGTCATTGTATTGACATCCTCTGATACATATCGTTTGATATCTCCAGAGGGATATCTACAGAGGTATTTTGTGGTTGATAAATCAGTTTAAACACTTCCCTTAAAAAACATAAATATCTTTATGGATAACATTCCTGCTTGCCAAAGGTACAAGAATCTGTATGGAAACGTCGCACTCACGAAATTGTTATCCATAAACTTTGTCTATATAACAGGCTAAGGTGCCACAAGCTACTGTATAAGACTGTGGACCCTTAGGAATGACAGACACTGATCACCGTGGGTCTAACTCTTGCTTCCCCCGAACTCTGTTATTTCACGTGGTGAACGTCCCAAATATGCATCATTTCGGAAACCTATTCACTCAATAAGAGGCTGAGTAAACATTTCAACTCAAAATCGTCAAAATCATTGTCATATTCAGATGGCGTTGAGAAAGAATTCCTTTACTTTCTGAATGATACTGTGTTTGGTACGTTCAACGGCTCATTTTGGAAATGCACCCAAGCGAAACAACCGTCGTTGCTAAAGGTAAGATTTTAATTACCGTAGCTGATTTATCACTTGAAGAAGATGAGACGAAATACTGATGTTTGCAGATCCTCAGAGGCGATAGCGGTCCATTCACATACCATGCCCTGTGACACAAGTAACACCTTGAACGTAGCTGCAAATTTGACACTGTGGTTGATGCCCTAACCTTATGAATATTATTTTATATTGCAAAGGATATGGACAGTTAGAGAAATATGACATTAAAGAGTCACTATGGACTCGGGAGAAAAAAAGGTTGAATCGTAATGTTATGATCTCACACCCACCGACGCACACCCACACCCACACACTGTTGCTGCACATGCCCTTTCTGCAGATAACAAATTCATAGACAAAACAAGTCCCTACTTCCTCAGTATTCCTGTTCCAGGCTCCACGGAGTGAGGTGACTTTCAGCTCCAGTGTTTGGGGACAGACGTGTGCGAGTGAGGACTGTCTTTTTCAAGAAGTGTCATTTACCAGAGCTGGAAATCGGGGACCGGTTGTTTGTGGAGAATGTTGGCGCTTACCCCATGTCGATGAACAAAGGCGGGGCATTTAATGGAATGCCACAACCTACTCCAGTTTATATCTGCTCCAAACAAATCTGGTGAGAAAAGTTCAATTTATGACTAAAAGATCAACTAAAATTTAGAGTCACTTTACTAAACAACCTGTGTAACAAAGGCAGGTCATTAAACGCCCAAACAGATCAATTCATATCTTCTCGGTTTTAATGTACGTACTACCTTGTGTGGTATCCGATCACCTGCTTTCATGTTACCTTTTTAACCTCACTGTGCCTTTCACGTTCAGTTAAATCTGTTTCGTTGTATATCCAAGACTGGTTAGTCCCTGCCATTTACATAATGTTTGAATTTATAAAGATTTGAAACAAACACAAATGCTCAGGTCGAGACACCAAGACTGTCCCCCACTGTGTTGCAACGAACATATTTCTTAAACGCTTGTTTTTGATTTCTAGGAAGCCGAATATCTGCATTTAACCACAGCAGACATCATCACAGATTAACATGGCTTGTCTTCCAGATGTACTAGGCTGTTGTGTCTGGGCGTTTGAATCAAACATGGTGCTGGTGTGTTTCAGCACCCTTGTTTTTCTCTGTTTTTGACAATGTTTCATTTCACCTAAACTCAACGAATATTGAATCAGTTGCTTCACTGCCAGTTCTAACATGTCGTTTAAAGTGCCCATTAAGCACACAAACAGTTGCATTTACCTAAGAGAGTAAATGACCTCACCACGTTTAAGTTTATATATGACTATCAAATTTTAGGGTGTTCCCATACGTTTTGTTTGTAGTATATTTTGTTAGGCAAATTGTTTGAATGATAAGGCAGGACATGCTTACCCTTTTCACGAAGACTCCAGTGTCATCGCTAATTGTCAGTAATACAGTCAGATAATGTTCACTGTTGGTTTATCTTTTACGTTCGCTTCGCAGAATAACAAATCTCTAGAGAGAACGTAATAAATTCCTGAAGTAAATGTGTCCAATATAACAGACCAAGATTTTTAAATAGCTATTAAAGATCTTTATCTTTATTTCTGTCCCTCTAGGAAATCCCATTACTGTGAAACCAGAGGAAAACGACGGATCAACAGCAGAAATGGGGACAGGTGTGTTCTTGGAGTAAAATGAACCAATAAGCACGGGGATACACAGGGAAGGAGAAAGGACCCTGGAGACTATTGCTGTCCATCTTGCCTCTGAAATTGAACATGTATTTGGGAATAAAAGCATTATCATACACGTTTGAAAGTACCACATGTATCTTTGCAAAATGTACAACGAAGCTGTAGAGGTGTTGCGAACATAATGCTGTCATCAAGTCTTGTCATTAGAACGTATTTCCAAAGCAATTATTGCCTACGCACCTATTTTAGTTTGAGTTAGATTTTTGATGATATTTTGGGCGCAAATAAACCTGTCATGTGTCAGATGTTTGTGTTGATACCACCACGACAATAGCCCGTTTTACTCTTGAGGTACCACAAACACCCTCAAATAAAACGTCAATGGTCTTTTTCTGTATTTATTTTCTTGTTTCACAAGAGAGGGACAAAACAAATCGTTATCTGCCCGCTAATGGTTTGATCTGCATTCTAGAAGTTGATGAGTCAATAATGAAGCATATAACTTTCCGGATAACACCATCCTGTTTTTTGCGTAGAGCGACTTTTAGGTATAGATTGTTATCAGGGTAAGAGTGACTACAACCAAGTGAGTGAGTGAGTTTAGTTTTACGACGCTTTTAGCAATATTCCAGCAATATTCGGCGTGACGAGCGAACGCTGGAACCACAAGGCTACCCCACCGCCCATACAACCAAGTGAAGACTGAGTGAGTGAGTTAGTTTTACGCCGCACTCAGCAGTATTCCAGCTATATGGAGGCGGTCTGTAAACAATCGAGTCTGGATCAGACAATCCTGTGATCAACAGCCTGAGCATCGATCTGCGCAATTGGGAACCGATGACATGTGTCAACCACGCCAGCGAGCCTGACCACCCGATCCCGTTTCTCGCCTCTTACGACAAGCATTGGTAACTGAAGATCAATATTGTAACCCTGACCTTCACGGGTCACCAAGTGAAGAGAAGTATATATACATAGTATGTTATTGCAAACACCAGATTAACATTAACAACAGCATGTAATTGTTAAAAAGTGGCACATAATTGGATGAGGCCAAGTGGGGAGTAAGAACAACATATAGCAACAACTATGGATGGGTGAGTGGGTGAGCGAGTGAGTGGGTGGGTGGGTGAGTGAGTGAGAGTACGTCGCATTTAGCAATATTCCGGCTGGGGACACCAGAAATGGGCTTCATACATTGTACTCATGCGTACCCGGGTCTCGGCGTGGAGAGTGAACGCTTTAACCACTAGGCCAGCCTCACCGCCCCTGCTTGCCATAACAGACACTGAATGAGTTTGTTGTGTGCGCTGTCAGTAGGTCGAGGTGACCTTGACTTTTCTCGAGCAACCCTATTCATCATATTTTTGTTAATGATTTATTCATGAGAGTCCATTGGATGCAGGGGATGCGTACAGTAGTCAGTATTTTTAATATTATCGTGGGAGCGTTTATGTCGCTTTTGTTAAGTGCTGAACATGAGTGAGAAGGTAAATCTAATCTAGTCATGAGAAAGCAAAATATGTAATTATATGGCCTTTTTATGATGTCATGTCCAACCAACCCTGTAGCTTATTATAATAATAGACCTAGACGTACAGTAAGACGCTCTATGTCAGTATCTTTCCGTGACTATTGCGCATGTGGCGATCCTATTTATTACGATGCAACATTTATGAACATGAAATACGACACAAACATTACTCTTTGTGTTTGATTCAAAGCTTCAGCACCCAGACCTCTTCAGAGGAGATCTGAATGTTTACAACGGATAGAGATTGCACACATACAAATCAGGATTGAAAGATAAAAGTAAATGACTTGACAATATTACATGATTTTATAAATAAGCTTATTCAAATGAGATTAATTATAAAACAAGCGAAGTGCGCATACTGGACAGGACATATAACGTGTACATACATATCAAAGTAAAACGCTGACTATAAATGCCGTCCGTTTCATAAGATGATATTAGTAATCAAGTGTTGATAATTTCATCCGGAAATATTCCCCTGATAAATGATGTGGAACAGATTGCTACGTATTGGCTATGATATTGTGTATTGATTGCTGTGTACTGTTTATCTCTAGGCTAAAACAGCGATCGCCCTGATGCTAAAATCATCGTTATTCCAGTGTCGTCTCTATGTGTGCTTTTATATAGAGACACTAAACTCAAACCCTTTTCTTATACCTTCATGAATGTGTATGTGACGAAACACATGGTCAGGTGAAGAGGTTAACAAGTTGTTCTCATGTATGGATCAAACGGTAGTTTATTCACTAAGATGAAATATTACCGTGAAATATATATTTAAAATATAACTGCCATTTTCAACAGCATCAAACACTGTCTTGACAGAATACAATGCGCCTCCACAATATTAACTGCAAATGCTCAACAGCTGTCCCCACTACAAGTAATGCAATGAGTAACGCCAGACAACTCACACTGAAACGAACAAGAACCATATGCATAGCTCCAATCACTTAGCATATTCGGTCCACCAATCTGATGGTCGATCAATATTCACTGTTGAAATGGAAACTCAAACAAACATACAAGAAGTATCGGAAGTAGACGTATCCTACCACATATCGCACTGTACGTGAGTAAAGTCAATGAAAACAACACTTTCCACGCAGAACCTATTTCTAATGCACCTATTTCTAATGCCGATGTTTATGCAATGTTTTGAATTGCTCATGTAACTTGATGACGTGGATTGTAGTAATTGTTTATCATTGAACTCAAAGCATTGGGAATTACCTACATTAAAACACGGACTTCTATACCATCACACTGACATATATTCATTAATTTATCTCAAGGGTTTAGAGATGGGATAGACATGTACATATCTGGGTTAGAACTGTTCGACCTGATGCATGTCATCATATCCCATTTATGAAGAGCGATGCTCATGGTGTCAATCACTGGATTGTCTGGTCCAGACTCGATTGTTATTCGTGTAGATGGAATATTGCCGAGTATATTTGGTGTTAAACAAGAAACAGGCCGGCAAGTGTGAACACATGTAGTAATAATATATGACACATGCTTAATGTATAACCTTCAACAAAGTAAAATGATGCGTATGGAATATGTTTTAGTGAAAATACAAGCCAGATATTTACAACGTAAACCGTTATGTATTTGTGTGAGGAGTATTGTAGGTTACATACATGCATGGAGCTTATTATGCAATAGTCTTATATACACCATTAGGTATTACTAAAATGGAAGCCTGAAAATTTGTGTGAATATTATATAGTAAAAAGTTACAGTAAAAGTAAACTATTCATATACTAGTACATACTATTAAAAAAAAACCCGGCATAACCCAGAAATCTGTTGTGAAAATGTTGTATTTTCTAACATATATAACTCGTCCACAAATAAACTTAATGAAATGAATTTTTGCATCACTTTAGAAGAAGGAAATGTCTATACAACCAAGTGGATGCAGGGGCGGATACACCTTTTCGAGAAGGGGGCGGGGTGCACACTATTGAGAAAAGGAGGGGTGCACGCTTCATTTTCACCCGACTTTCAATGGTCATTTAACAAACTTTCACCACAAAAAGGCGGGGTGCGCACCCCTGAACCCCACCCCACCCCCCACCCCTCTGGATCCGCCTATGGGATAATTGTTTGATAACGGAGACGTTCAGCGCCCTGGTGACGACGTCGCACGTGCCCGACGTCTGATCTCCTGGCTCTCGGACAATCTCTCTCAGCCTGTTCCGTACAGTTTGACCGGGTATCCTCCGAAGTTGAGGCACCCTGGCTGCTGTGGTCTCACCCGTGGCAGTACGATCACGCTAATGTAGTACCCGGATGTACCGATCTTTGGCAACAGTGACTCGAGATCTGCCTGTACTGGGAGGGTCATTTGTTATGCCTGTTTGGTTGTAACGGGTTTAAGTGAGTGAGTGAGTGAGTGTGTTTAGCTTTACGCCGCACTCAGCAATATTTCAGCTATATGGCGGCGGTCCGTAAATAATTGAGTCTGGACCAGACAATCCAGTGATCAACAGCATGAGCATCGATCTGCGCAATTGGGAACCGATGACGAGTTGTAAGCTTTGATATCGTGCTCAGACTAACATTCAGACGCCTGGAAACAGAAGATTGGTAATCGCAAGGGTGCATTCTTTCAATGACGATGTTCCGTGTCGCAGAGTTATGACGTGGCGTAGTGATCTGACCTTGAAACGAATGCCGATTTCCGAAAGTAATCTGGATTTTTGTAGCTAGACAGTGCATGCTCTTTCATGCACAATTTCAACTGGAAAGTGATTCCTGTTGCCTTGTGGTGATGCCTTTTTAGTCATTGTAAGAAATCTCATCAAAATCAACATTTTCAGGTAAAGTCGATTTTTTACTTATGCCACTGTGTAAAATCATGTTATCAATACTTTTGTTATATATTTTGACGATTGTGTGAACACAATAGGTAATTAATAGATTTTAAAAATTACAAAACGCCTATGTGTTTCTTTTTTGGGATAGTATATATACACCCGTGCATTAATTAAGCACCACCCTATTTTGAAAATAAGATGTGATGCTACAGAAAAGTTAGGGTATAGCCATCAATTTAATCAACCTGTAGTTAAAGAAGCTTTATCCACTGACAGTTTTACAAATACCATAACCTTTTCTATCCTTTATGAAAGAATTTGTTGATAAAAATGTGATGGGACTGAATTTTTGCCCAAAATAACTATTTCTCTCCTGCTCAAACTACTCAATTAAATTAAGTTTTGACTAAAAATAACAATTCTGTTATATACCAAGATGACATTTACACATCAAGTAAGCTTTAATTATGCATAATTAGGAAGAACCCGAATGTCAAAGATTCCGACCGTTTTCCAACAATTCAGATTGCTAATTGACAAAAACTGAAAAAAGGCTACATTAATAAGATTTTGGACAAAATTTGTCATGATTTTGAGTTTATTGTAATGAATAAACACTTCTCCTTGCCGGATACTGATAATTACATCTAAAATCTGTTTGCTTTGATTGTAGAGCAAACGTTTACTGCATTTTAAAATGTTCCTTTTAAGTTTGACTGTAACTTTTCCTCAATCTTAGTTTACAAACTTTCATCCATTCACAATATATAACGAATTTATAGGCCACACAACAATCAATTATTACTTTCACTTTTCAAAATAAAGTAACTTGATTTAGGGCAGAAAAAACACCTGTTTTAAATATAGGCAATTATCCTAATTAAAGTACATGGTAATTTCAATGATGTTTTCGTTTTTGAAATGTTAAATGCTTGCTCTATCAAATTATAAAGGTTATTTTTTGGAAAGAGTTTAGAATTTCATTTCAGACAAAATTAATTGGTACAAATACAGGGTGGTGCTTATTTTATGCACAGATGTATATATGTTCCCTGTGAATATATTTCGTTGTCCATCTAAGTAGGCAACGACTTGCTTCAACGTTCAGTCCACAGCGGGACGTGTCTGTCGTAATAGTTTTTATCACATAGTCCACTGTGGTACAGTTACAAACAAGCTTAGACAAAATCTTTCGTCTGTCCACCAGCAATTAGATGTCACTAGGTAATGTACTTACATTTTGTCCATGTTACCGAGATGTGGATTTGTTGACGGAAGCCACAGGGAGACCGTAGATCGATCCTCATGCTGTTGATCACTGGTTTGTCTGGTCCAGACTCGATTATTTACAGAGAACCGCCGTATAGCAATATCGCTGAGTGCAGCGTAAAACTAAACTCACTCACTCACTCAGGTACTCACTCGATTACTCACTCAGAACTCGCCACTACTCACTCACTCACTTGCTCGCTCACTCACTCACTCACTCACTCACTCACTCACTCACTCACTCACTCACTCACTCACTCACTCACTCACCAAAAATGAATGTTAGGGTCCCAGGCAGTGCATCGTTGGTAATTCGTAATTGTGAGTTCAAATTATATTTGACCTAATTTTTATTATTATAGTAATGAGAATATTTATAACGCGCCTTCTCCGGGCTAGATACCCTGCTCAAAGAGCACAATCTGATCATTATTAACCCGGATAACCCAAGCTGCCTGTTAGGTGCTAGACGGTTAATATTCTTTACAGCTTGTATCACAGACTTTATCCCAGCTAAATATTAACAATATGACATCATCTCTATCTTTATATTAGAAACTAGCACCAATCTCATATTCGTATTTGATGAAATTGCCCAGCCCAAACAAATTGAGACACAAATGTACTTGACTGTCCGAACATTGTGTCAATGTGATACACTTAGTCTAAAACGCTTGGAATCCAGACAATCTCAAACACGATCAGGATTCATACATTTTAGGCATCAAATCGTGTTTACATTTTCGGACATTTCACGTAGTAGATACCAAGAAGATATCTTCAATGAAAAGGAAGTGCTAGTTTCCAATATAAAGATAGAGATCATGTCATATTACTAAAAACCTCTCCATGTGTTGGATTGACTACAAAACGGCATACGACTCTGTCCCTCATGAAGTCTCTTCATTGTATTGGCCTCCCTGAGCGACTACTTGATTTACTTAAGTCTTTAATTAGTTGCTGGTCGACTCAACTTGAGATGTACTAGCAAGGACAGGTGCAGACTTCGGAATCTTTTCCAATTAGGAGGGGAATATTCCAGGGGGACTCCTTCAGTCCTTTGCTTTTTTGTCTGTCTTTAAGTCCTTTGAGCTTTCTGCTCAATAGGGAGGAGGGTTACCATCCCAGACCACCTCAGCACAGATCTTCTTGTGGAAGATCAGGCCTACACCTATCTTGGGATTCAAGTTCGAGACAAGCTCCAGAATGCGCAGATTCAAGAGAAACTTCGGGCCGAATATAAATCTCTCTTTAAGAAAGTCTGGAGCTCAGAGCTAAATGCTCGAAACAAGGTCAAAGCTACCAATACTTTTGCTGTGCCAGTCCTCTCCTATTCCTTTGGAGTAGTTGACTGGACTAAACAAGATATCCATGTCTTGACCGCCTGACCAGAAGGATCATGTCTGATAAACAGAGCCCACCATCCTCTTTCCTCTGTCAATCGTTAATATATGCCAATCAATTCTGGAGGTCGGGGTTTGATTAATGTGGAGGCTCTTCATGATAGAATGTTATTGTGTTCTTTTGCAGATATTCATTTGGCAGATGATCCTCTAGTGATGCATGTCAAGATTCACGATGAAAGCAAGGAATTCCACAGCTATTTTAGGCGTGCCAGTGTTGTTGGACAGAATCTGAAATTTGAGGTTGATCTTGTTGATGGCGATGTACTGCTGGACGGTACCAGTGATGGGAGTAAACCAGGTGAAGAGCTTCACCAAATCTGCCCATAGTCGGTCATTTGTGGAGAAGCTTCTGAGAAGCCATTGCATCGTGTGTACATGCAGTGTGTGGAACAGAAAAGCAATCCCACCGACTCCTTCCCCTGGATGAAGTCGGCTGGTCTTAAGTGTGAAACTGAGGGCTTTCTTTTTGCTGCTCAAGACCAGTCACTTCCCACTCGCAATCGCCAACATGTGATTCTTAAAGAAAATATCAATATGAAATATTGACTTTGTAATGAATTCACAGAGAGTGTCCAGCACCTTGTCATTGGATGCCCTTCTTGGCACAAACAGCTTATCTTAAAAGACATGATGGCATGGCTCGTTGCTTTTACTACCGTCTCCGTCATGCCTGTGGCTTTGACTCCGAGGTCCATCCATGGTACGACCCTGAACATGTTCAGGGCGTCATGGAAAATGATGCTTTCAAACTTTTGTGGAATAGGCCCAAATTCAGCCTCAGAACAATTCCTGCCAACAAACCTGATCTTGTCCTTTCTGATAAAGCCAACGAATATATTAATATCATTGAATTTTCTGTCCCTTTTGGCAGCAACGTGATCCATGAGTGGCAAGATTTAGGAAAACATGCAAAATATGCATACCTCACCTTTGAAATGTCTCGCTTGCATCCCAAGTAAACTGTCGTCAGGCTCCCCATTGTTCTCGGTGCCCTTGGTTTGGTACCTCCTGATCTCTTGGCGCAGATCAGGAGAGTGCCCGGGTTCTCCACCGGGAGCACAGCCCTTCTTACACTCTAGGTAATGCAGAAGGCTACAGTGTTGGGGAGTCTACATATTCTCCGGAAAGTTCTTGGTGGGTTCGACTAGGTAGCATTTCCTGAGAGAAGTCCTATTCGCTGTCTGGGCTGCGTGTAGATGGGACAAGGGCCCTGAGCTGATGATGAGCCGTACCAGCCTGACTGGCTAGGATAACCCGAACCCTCTCTGCTGCTTCATTAATCTTAATCTGTAAAACATAATAATAGCAATGAATTTACAGAGACTGTCCAACACCTTGTCAGTGGATGCCCTTCCTTAGCACAAACAGCATATCTTAAAAGACATAATGGCATGGTTCGTTGCTTCTACTATCGTCTTTGAGATGCCTGCAGCTGTGTCTTTGACTCTGAGGTCCATCCATGGAACGACCCTGAACATGTCCAGTGCGTCGTGGAAAATGATGCTTTCAAACTCCTGTGGAATAGGCCCATATACAGCCTCAGAACAAACCTGATCTTGTCCTTTTTGATAAAGGCAATGAATATATTTATATCACTTAATTTTCTGTCCCTTTTGACAGCAATGTGACTGGCAAGATTCAGGAAAAGCATGCAAAGTATGCGGACACTGTCGTCAGGCTCCCCATTGTTCTCGGTGCCCTTGGTTTGGTACCTCCGGATCTCTTGGCGCAGATCAGGAGAACGCCCGGTTCTCCACACCCTCTCTGACACTCTGGGTAATGCAGAAGGCTGCAGTGTTGGGGAGCCTTCATATTCTCCGGAAAGTTCTTGGTGGGTTCGACGAGGCAGCGTTTCCTTGGAGAAGTTCCATTCGTTGTCTGGTTTGCGTGTTGAGGGGCATACTTAATCTGTAAAATATAATGATAAGAATGTGTCCATTTATATAACGCCAAAGTCCACACTATGTATGCTCATATCGCTAACAATCAATAGCACAGCACATTTTTACCTTGGATAACCGAAGCTGCCTGTTAGGTGCTAGAAGATTATAGTCACATGACTTATTCCACCGGTTTGTTTGAGTGGCATTTTATAAAGTTGCTGGTATAGATATGACACAACTTTATGGATGATCAATTTCTTTATTTTAACAATAGAGACGTTGCGAAGATTTATTCCACCAGGTACCCATTTTCTGCAGGCTGAACAGAAGCAGTTTTGAACAAACTCACTTGCCCAAGGTGAGACCACATGTATCACGTGTGCTTCGTTGTGGTTCCATATTGCTGTGAGTAAAGAGAAAATGGGTATCCTGTTATCTTGCAGATCTATTTTGTTGGTGATATGTCCCTTATCTAAATCCTTCATCAATTATGGCTATTGTTTTTTTTATAATGTTTGCCCTGTAATCTGATCAACATGCATTTGAGATATTGATTACATCGTATGTGTAACGGCTAGTACCATTACGATTGTGTGATTTCTTATTTAGTAGTATATTATGCAATTGTCCACGGAGTAGTGGAAAAAAGGAACAAAGGAACGGTATGACTTAACCGTCAGTCAAATTTTTCATTTCAGTTGACAGGGACAATGAGCAAACGTTTTAAGACCTATCCCTGTGTTTCGCGATACTTTTACCTGTTCTGTTTATTGTGCATACCCTCTGGATTGTTTGATAACCTCGTTTAGTTGCCTCAATGAACTCTTGCTGAGTAAAGTAATAACTATTTATCACTTTGCATAACAGGTAATGTAGAAGTGAGCATATCTACTGGTATCTACATAAACATTCACATACTATTCACATCCATTCAACTTTATTCAGAATTTATGGCCACATGACCAAGAGTACGATTCAAAAAACAAACTATAGCACAACTACAGGTTAAAAATTTAATATATACTACTCAAAAAAGAAACGCATAGCACAGATGTTCAGGTCTGGTCTCTTTAGGATGAATGAAAAACATTAGTAACTTTAATATTTTGGTAACCAATACCTGCTTGACCCCTTTCCGAGTTGGTGCATAAAACGATCGATGAAACTCAACCCAAACTGATTTTTAGGAATAAATGTAACATAAGACACGGGTTTACAAAAATTCATGTTTTTGTCGGACAAGGTGTACAGCCCCGTACACCCGTTCAAAACACTGTGTGACGAATTTATTATCTTGAAGATTTAAAAGCCAACATTCAATAGAAAATAACAAAACAACAACAATAAACGTTATATATGATATGTTTAAGCAAACACTCAACGGTCACGCTCATATAGAAAGAACACATAATGAAAACCGTTTTTCATTCAGGGAGCAGTAGTTATAAGAATGGACAGCGCGCTACTGTATGAAGATGGCGATGGTGTCAAAGACAAAATCAACAGAATTATTAAACAGGAAACGGAAAAGGTATTCTTTACTCATTGTTACAAAGTAATACATTTCGCCCAGCTGCAATGAAAGAATGCGAATACGAATACAATGTGGAGTAGTGACTAGATCTACCTTCAGTAACTTAATCAGCAAAATAAGAGTGAAAGATGTTCATAAAATATTTTCTCTTCAAGGATGAATATTTTGAGGAAGCCTTCTTCATGATTGATATGGATGATGTCAAGGGAAAGCTGAAACAATGGCGCAAGTATCTTCCCAGAGTGAAGCCACACTACGGTACGTAGACACAGAACTATCAATTGTTATGTGGCAGTGTTATTTAGTATTGTATCTGTGGCTAGTCAGTGAGGAACAGTGTGACGCTCATATTAAATATATTGTATCTTTGCTGGCATATTATTTTTCATGTAACAGTTTCGACTGTACAAAATTCTGGGACAAATTCTGTCTCCCCTTACATCCCATGTGAACTGAGACCACTGTAGCTCACCTTCAACATTAACAACACTAAAGATTTAAGGAGAACATACACACCTATGGTCATCGCAATAGATAATCAAATTCTTCAGAGCTGAATCGTGGAGCCAAATATGCTTTTGATAGAAAAAGGAGCAAGTGGAATGTAACACCCTGGTTACAGTTTAATTGTAGATAAACATCAAATTGTATCATTTGTAATCACCCATAACACAAACGACATGTACCGACACAAGCAAACATGGCTGGTAAATCGGAGATGAATCCTGCGCTGACATTTTAAGTCATTATAGCTGTAACCATCTATGTAAAGTGTCTGCACCTTGTGGTTTCTGAGTTGTTGTTGAAACGTAACTGTCAGTGATGTACAAACAGCGAAAGCGACTTGACTTACTTTCCGTCATACGTTTCGGAGATCTTAACATGGATGGGATTGACAAGTTTAGTTTCACTGGTCCAATGTTTGGAAAGAACAGAGTTCGTCAGTGGGCTGTCGGTATCCTGACATTTACCTCATCAGGCCGAAGACCCGGGTTCGAATGCCCACATGGGTACAACGTGTGAAGCCCATTTCTGGTGTCCCCCGCCGTGATGTTGCTGGAATATTGCTGAAAGCGGCGTATAACCAAACTCAGTCAGTCCTGGCATTTACACATACGTGCATGCATGTCGATGTTTAAGTGAAATATTCTTGAATGCGATGAATTTCCACCTCAGAGCACTTAACGTTCATCCACGTCAGGGCAGGACGCGTTCTGTTGCAACTTCTTGAAAATGTTTACTGTTGGATTTGTCTCTTGCTTTCTTACTGTTTGGTGTTACTCGAAACAAGTCATCCCCTTCGTACCAACATGAACAGTTTTGGAGCTGACCTTTGTCCATAATGGGTCCAAATATGTTCATCTGGTCGGGTTTTTTCTGTTTTGAAATTGGACCTATTTTCGATCTGTTCCTGTCGCGATAGATATGGATATGTAACACCGAAGGTGTTATGTGAAACAGAGTTTTTCAGAGTGGCCCTTGACTGTATCTATTTCAGCTGTCAAGTGCAACAACGACCCTCAGATTCTCTCTCTCTTAGCTGACCTCGGTGTCTACTTTGACTGCGCCAGCAGGGTAGGGACATTATATCACTAACGTCAGTAATTTACCAAAAGAGGAAGGCTTGTTTGCATCTTCTGGAACACTCATTCTCAAATTTAGTGCACAATTCCCACAATTCAATGTCGCACATATGAGAATAATGAAAAATGAAAGAAATATCGGCATTTATCACATTTAATGTCTTATTGCATCCATGTATAATGTAATAGGACGCGAAAATCCTGGTTCGATCAGATTTACTGTACAAAAGATCTGATAACATAAGGTAACTTAATCAAATAGTTCATGTCGCTTAGCAATAGTCATTAGATCAACATGAAATATCATAAAATATTATTCACACATGAAAGTCATAGTCTTCTTGAATTGACAAGAAAATAGTGAAAGTTTGTTACACGTATATTTTAAGAATATGTTCCTGTTTATAAATAACAGCCTTAAAGTTTAATTGAGTCGCTGAAATGTGAGTATTTCCCGTTATGTTTTAAACATAAGACAAAAGTAGATACTGAGACTGACTGACTGACTGACTGACTGAGTTTGGTTTTACGCCGCTTTTAGCAATATTCCAGCAACATCACGGCGGGGGACACCAGAAATTGGTTTCACTCATTGTACCCATGTGGGGATTCAAACCCGGGTCTTCGGCGTGACGAGCCAACGATTTAACCACTAGACTACCCCACCGCCCCCAAAAGTAGATACACATATGTCAATGTAATGAAATATACAATTAATAAAACAGTACAAGTTTGCCAACTAGCATCGGAATAGTCTTAGGACCGATTGGATAAGGGTGTATGATACGTTACGCTGTTTTCATGTATATGGTGAGGATGAAGTGTCATATAAGGATCATATCTCATTAGTATATTGCCCCTGAGTTGATAGGAGTACAAATATAAATCTGTCTTCACTTTTTTCTAAGATATTTGTCGAAGGTTTGGCTTAAAGTATTGTACGTAACGTAACTTAGGTTACAGTATTTTACGTAAGAAAGATGTAAGTGAGGGACTGGAACACAAACCAGGACTTAGACATCACAAACGTTGATGACGTAAAACGCAGAAACTATGACGTCATCTTTGAGGTTCATCTTCCGGTGAAAGCACGGTGTGCTAGGTTGGACTTCTGTTTGCTCACTAAGGTAAGTTTATTGAACGCACATAAACAATACCTTTATAGATTCGTTGCGAATTTCTTGATTTCTCAGAAGATTAATTATACAACTTCATATTTTAATCTGAATGTTAATTACACGACATTAATTTGTACTCAGAAATCACGTGTTTATACATCACGTAAAATACAGTGATTGTAACGTAAAATACATTATATCATACAAGGGCTAAAGGATATATAATTGGAAGTTAATACCCTATGAATCGACAAATCAAACACAATTCAATGTTCATCAAAACATATTTCAAAACACATATAATTTGTATAAAGTTAAACATGTAAATTTATAGACATAAAAGTGTTTGTATAAATGTGTGGTTAAGTTTAAAAGTAAACTTGATGTAAAAATACATTAAACATTTTAATCAAAAATATACAACACATACGTCTTGCATTTATAAATATTGGTAAATATGCACATTTTAATGCGGTAATAATAAAAATCGAATTCACTAATATACCATTTGTTTTTGCAGCATCTCAGATATGGCTAAAACTGCAGCTGAAAGGCAGAGACAATATCGAGAACGCAAAAAACAAATAGAAGGTGCCGCATATTTGCAAAGGGAAACAAACAGAGTGAGGCAGTACTACAAGAAAACTGAAGATATGAGCAGAAACGACAAAGCTAAGCGTCGTAGAAAGGTTCGGGAACAAGTCAAGGAACACAGGAGAGCAGTGAAGTTGAGAAGACTTGGTGAGAGAGAAGCTGTACCTGCAAGAAGCATTGAGTCAGTTCCAGGAGACACGGAGAACATGGTATCCAGAACAACTGAATGGCCAACTACTTCTACTGCACCGATGTTGGTTCAACGTCCGTGTATGACATCATCAGGCAAGAAAAGCAGGAAAAGGATAAGTCATGCAGTTTCCAGCGCTAACAGAAGAATTGCCCGTCTGAAACATGAGAACCTGACACTGCAGAGAGGTATGAAACGAGTCAGCAAACGTTATGAACGTTTATTCCGTAAACACAAACAACAAACATCAAAATCATCTGAATCTAGCCAGCAATCCACTTCCGACACTATGACTCCAAAGCGGAAAACTAAAAAAAGAATTACAGAACTTTAAATTTACAACGCCAAGATCTAGAAAGGCAGTTAAAAGACGTTTACTTTTGGCTAATTGTTTGGAACACGAACTATCTGAGGCTAAGAAGCATAACTGAAAGAAACATGTAAGAAGCCTGGTCAACATTGTTTCTGGAAAGGTTGTCAAGAAGTACAGAGGAGTCCGCTACATTGCATCCAGAACTGGAATAAACAGGAGAACATTACTCACGGCATCACCTACAAATGTCATGCGTGTTCGCAAGATAAAGTGGAAGACTAGACTGGCTCTTCTGCAAGATGTAGTTGCGTTCTATGAGAGAGATGACAACTCTCGTTGTATGCCCGGGAAAAATGACTTGGTCGGAAAATCACAGCTTCAAAAAAGAGTCTTAAATGATTATCTGGCCAATCTATTCCTAAAGTTTAGGGCTGAGTTCCCGAATGTGAAGCTGTCGCTATCGTCATTTTGCAAACTGAGACCTGCTCACGTTTTGCCAGTGTCATTTACAGCAAGGAACACCTGTCTTTGCAGTAAACATCAGAATATGGCCTTAAAGTTGAAATCTCTCAAGAGCTTTAATGTTGTTTCCACATCAAGCCCAGATGCTTTCATAAAGGCTCATACTCAGTCAGAGATTGAGAAGCTGTCCCAGATTCAACTTGATAAGGTGACCTATAAGACCTGGAAGAAGGTGACAGACAGCAGGGGCAAGTCGAAGATGAAGCTTGTGGATGAAGACGTGGCCAAAGATGATTTTATCAGCAACTTTTTGAGTCAGTGTACACAGTTCCGTGAACATGTGGTTCGTGTCCAAACACAATACGCTCAGCTAAGGTTCTTGAAGGACAATTTGCCGGACTCTCATGTCATCATCCAAATGGAGTTCACCGAGAATTATCTTTGTCAATGTCTTGACGAGATCCAGTCTGCTTACTGGAATGCCACTATGGTAACACTTCATCCAGCTGTTGTATACTTCAAAAACAATGGAGACCTCAATCACAAAAGCTTCATCTTCGTCTCTGATACTATGACCCATAGTTTTGGCACCGTATACACCATTCTGCAGTCATTGCTTCCAGAAGTTAAAGAACTGGTTCCATCTCTGTCGTATGTTCATTACTGGAAGGACTCGCCATCAAGCCAATATAGAAACAAGACAGCTTTCAACTATGTCCTACATCATCCTGAGGTGTTTGGTGTTCGGGCTTTGTGGCATTATTTTGAATGTGGTCACGGTAAAGGGCCCTGCGACGGCCTTGGAGGTACCGCAAAAAATGGCTGATTCAGCCGTGAAACAAGGAGAATTTAACATACAGTGCCCACGACTTCTATGTATGGGCAACTGGGCAACCAAGTTCTGTCGTGTACATCTTCAGCAGCAAAGAAGATCGCGATTCCAATCAAAAGAGACTTGAACAGTGGGGTGTGAAGCCAGTTAAAGGAACTATGACAATTCACGCAGTTTATGAAGCAGAGGGTTGTCTCATGGTAAAGGAAACATCCTGTTTCTGTTTTGCCTCTGAAGGGTTCTTGTCTGTCCCGTCAAGTCCATGGCAGAGAAAGGTTCTTGTGACAAACCCGGCTCCAGATGACAGTGAGGAGAACGCTTTACAGCCAGAGAATGTTCAGGTTGATGAAGAAGTTCTGCCTACCCAGTCAGAAGCAAACGTTGTCCAAGATCCACCCTGTGAGATATCAATCGATGAATTTGTTGCTGCCATTTATGAATTTGACAACAAAGTATATTTTGGCAAAGTTCTGGATATTGACGAACAGGATTATCAAATCTGTTTTATGGAGGCTTCTGGAAAAACCTGTAACTACAAATGGCCACGAAGTTCGGACAGTGAAACCATTTGGGTGAATAAGCGATTTGTACTGGACAAAGTATCAGACCCGGAGCCAACAGGAAAATCTAAAAGGATGTTCATTTTCCCTCCCGAAGATCGCGAGAGAATCAACACTTTGTACCAGAAATACCTCGAAAATTGATACCATGGTATTTGGTGATGTTCCAAGAACTGTTTCCAGTTGCGTTTCATTACAATCTTAACTACTGTTCTTTATTCCTGCCAGAGAACCGTGTGGTATCTAACGTTATGACATTGGAATTTTACGTTATAGCATTGTGAAATCATGTTTTCAAATAGTTCGACTACAGGTCATTGGAACATAATGTTGCTATGAACATTTTGTCATGACTTCAGACCAAAGAAGGACACTTTGTGACACAATACACAGTTGTATGTTACGTTATTAAAATTAGTATAATACGTTATGTATTCTGGTTGTTGTATTTTGGGGGGCTATGCTCTTTGAATGATTGAAATACAGCTAAAATAGAAGACTTATTAGGTTAATGATCAATTTGACAACACACAACTTAGTGAAGCTGGTGGTTTCTTTTAAGGAAATTCAAGAATTTTGGACTGAAACCTTGACCTATGTTAAAGTACCTTTAATAGAAAATGGATTTCAGTTTACGCTCAAGTTCTTTTACCATGGATGTCCGAATCTACATGAAACTTATCTTGCTGCGAAATATTATTGCTTTGACTATTTATTGGTAACGGCTGCACTGGTCATGAACGTTTGTTTTATTTTTATTTTCAATTTCAGTTGGTATAACGTAATATTGAGTTTGTGATATGTAATCTTTCATCAAAAATATTACAATGATGCTAAATGTTGTAATGCTGAAATTTAAATTTTCATGAGATACCATAACCGACGATAGAAGCATGTCATTTTTAACTCTTAATTTTGAAAAATATTTTTGTGAAAGTTTCAGTTTATAATTGTGCACGAAATATGAGAATGAGTGTGGAAGTGAAGGGTGTCAAATATCATTATGCATTTACAGTTGAAACTGTGTAATGTAAATGTCGAAAATTATTATTATCTCCTATCTTGAAACTAATTTTATGTGAATGCAAGGCAATTTGTGGAAAATTTGAGCAATCAATTTGTAATTATATATTTTCCACGAAATCTCTTTAAAGGCACAATGCCACAACACATTAAAAACATTCTCTAAAAATACATAATGTATTTCTCTCAATAATACTAACTATCATCCCTCAGGGAAGCTACCATATAATTTATTCCAAATTTTTTTGACGTATTTAGATTATAATATTTAATAAAAAGGTTCGAATGAATCAATGACTCTCGTGCCCCCTACCGTTCGAACGTTATTTCAATACTGTCGAAAATGTGTGACATTGTGCCTTTAAGTGAATGTCTGGAAGGTTTGATCAATCAATTGTATTTGTATTTTTATATTTTCCTTCAGAATGAAATGGCCTCTATTCTTGGTTTGGGCGTGGAGCCATGTAACATCGTCTACTCCCACAGTGTCAAATGCCGTAGAGACATCAGATATGCGGCGGCTGCTGGTGTTGATTTGATGGCATTTGACAGCGAGCATGAACTCATCAAAATAAAGTCAATTCATCCCCATGCAAGGTACTGTCGTAACTGGGATTTGGGTGTTAGTAAACCCTACCCCAGTTACCTATTAATTATGGTCGTTCCGCATTGTCAGGGTGATGTAAGCTCAAGTTACACACTCGCTTGGTCCATGGGGATGTTTAGTCTAGGAGTGAGAGATCAGACGACTGTAACTCCTCAATAAACACATTCCATTCATGTGCTGGCACTCTGGCATACAATGAAAAATTCAACACCAGGTTCTATACTCATATAGATTTACTCGATCCTTCTCTTCATTACAAGGTGCGTGGTCTTGACAGGATGGGGCAAGCTCTTCACCAGATATGGATATCGCTCGCGATGCGAACGCTCTGCTGACTTTGTAACCCGCACCACTTTCTAGTGCTGACGGTATCTTTTTAAGGTGTTCGAGCCTGCTCCACCCTTGTCACATGACCCTATACAATCCCTCTGATTTGTTAAAAGTTACATCATTCCATGGTCTCATATCTTGCCTCGTGATCGGAAAATTACTGAAAACTCTCATCTATGATTCCTTATTCATGAATACCTAAAAGGACTTTCCTGTTCTGTCAATAAGATTTATCCTGTTGTTTGATCCCTTACTTTATTACCAAGCCGTAATAGCATTGTTTTTCTGATGCAATCACCGTAATCCTCACTAACGAATTTGTGGTACGTTTCTTGTATAACAGATGCCTTTTTTAACCTTATAACATCCTCCGCCTGTAGACAAGAGCTGCCCACAGCTCGGAATAAGTAAACATGAGTACATGGAGGCGATGTGTATAAAGACAACCAAATCTACACCCGAAGCAATACAGGAGCACAGAACTCGACTTGGATATGAGGAGAATTTTGAGAGAAATCTGGACAAAACGTGAAACTGGCAAACATGTCCAAGGTACACTTTCTTACGTTCGAAAAATGAGAAGAAAATGGCTCCTATGTTACTTCGTAATACCACAAAGCATGTACACAACACAACACAATACAATACAATACTATTCCGTTAAAGTTCATAAAAGTAATAAAGACGATTAAATGTCACTTCCTATGACCATATCTGGTCTGATCCTTCACAAAAATTCACTTGTCATCGGTCCCCAAACGAATTCACTAGCACTGTCTTGGGCAGGTAAAGTCACAGCATGAGCTGTCCGGTATTTTGTACCGAACTCCACAACGAAATGCAATCTCCACCATGTCGTAACTTGGATTTGGGTGTTAGTAAACCCTACCCCAGTTACCTATTTATTATGGTCGTTCCGCATTGTCAGGGGTGATGTAAGCTCAAGTTACACACTCGCTTGGTCCATGGGGATGTTAAGTCTAGGAGTGAGAGGTCAGACAACTGTAACTCCTCAATAAACACATTTCATTCATGTGCTGGCACTCTGGCATACAATGAAAAACTCAACACCAGGTTCTATACTCACATAGATTTACTCGATCCTTCTCTTCATTACAAGGTGCGTGGTCTGGACAGGATGGGGCAAGCTCTTCACCAGATATGGATATCGCTCGCGATGCGAACGCTCTGCTGACTTTGTAACCCGCACCACTTTCTAGTGCTGACGGTATCTTTTTAAGGTGTTCGAGCCTGCTCCACCCTTGTCACATGACCCTATACAATCCCTCTGATTTGTTAAAAATTACATCATTCCATGGTCTCATATCTTGCCTCGTGATCGGAAAATTACTGAAAACTCTCATCTGTGATTCCTTGTTCATTAATACCTAAAAGGACTTTCCTGTTCTGTCAATAAGATTTATCCTGTTGTTTGATCCCTTACTTTATTCACAAGCCGTAATAGCATTGTTTTTCTGATGCAATCACCGTAATCCTCACTAACGAATTTGTGGTACGTTTCTTGTATAACAGATGCCCTTTTTAACCTTATAACAGTACCTTACCTGTAATTATGATTAATGTACAGACATAAGTTGTCGTCTGAAATGGCGCTTCACTGCCTGACAACACATACAATTTTAAAGAATTTGAATGGGGGGGAATCAGAGTTTGTGGTTGGGATGTGTGCATACATTAATCAACTACTGAGATGCATCTGATTGAAGATGTCCCGTGTGAAATTAATTAATGTCATTTATTTGATACACCGTTTCCGTTATTGGGTGTAGCAGCTGGCATACTCCGCTCCGCTCCACTCCACTCCGATCGACTCCACTCCGATCGACTCCGCTCCACTCCACTCCATTCCACTCCTCACCTTATACATTCCTGTGTGGTGGCGATTTGTTTCCCACTGAAATCTGACATCACCAGTTGTTCCATGACACGTGGTATACAAGGCCCTCAACAAGTTTAATTATTCCAGTCGTCATTTGCAACTGGCCAATATGCACGTGCCATTTCCATAACCCATCACTGGGGCCGGATACAGCGGGGCATTACTTCGATACAGTAGATGTTTGTGCTAGCTATATAGACAGGTCATAGTTAATCTGAGGGGAAGCGTCACTGGAGCGTGCATCAACGGTTCTGCTACCTACAGTAACATATTCAATTTCAGTTCTTTGCAGAAATTTATCTGAAGGGTTTGAGACAAATCCTGCATGTTTCTGAAAAACGACCCGCATTGTTTCCTGGCTGCCATACTCAATTATAGTAAAATTATTGAAATTCCATTTCACTTTTAGCACTTCCGCATGCCTTAGGTTAAAGTGCGTAATATGGTATTTCAAAACGCACACACAAACACACACAACAGAACAAAACAAAACAATAAAAAACAAACAAACACACACAACTGATCTGTTCGTGCTGGATGAGAAAGAAGAAAGTAGTTATATAATGGGACTCCTGCCGCACTTCCCCCTCAGAGGGTCTTTTGTATTTATTGATCGAAGTGGTCTAGGGAGTACGGGCCAGTGCGACATAAATCTTGTCAAGCTAGCGGTTTGAAAATAACCTGAGCAAAGCCAGCAATTCAATAGACAGCTTAACAAACACGACTGCGAGAGAGCTGGCTTTGTGTTGGTCATGATTGCATCAGCCATCTGGCTCGTGTGGTATTCACACTCATACACAAGCTATTATGCAGTGAGAGCTTGGATACTGATGAGTAAAGGTAGGCATTATAAAAAAAGTGGTCATGATGTCATGTCATGCATGACTGGGGTGCAGATTTGACGGATGATGAGTCACAGTACCTATGTACATGGGATGAACAACGACAGCTGATTCAATCTCAATGAGGTTTATCAGCGTAGAGGGCAAATAGAGGGCATGCTGATAATAGACACCGGTGTACCCAGTACTGGCAGCAGACTGACTTGTGTACTGTGACTCAATATTTGCCGTTCCCTACATGTACTCCAGTCAGCAGAGGTATGAAAACTAAATACCACTCAACCATGTTCTCAAAATTGTTCTGTGATCTCTTGAACAGTTTTACTCTCAAACAACATGTTTCCGCTGTCACCCATAAATCGGGTCACATCTTGGACTTGGTTCTCACCAAAGAAGACTGTGGATTAGTGAAGAGTGTGACAGTTACTGATGAGAATATTTCTGATCATTTTGTTATTAAATGTATTTTTGATCTGAGTAAGCCAATGCCACCACGCAAGGTACTCTCATATCGAAAGACTAGAAACATTAACATCGATGATTTTGCATTTGATATTGACACCTCGGAGGTGTTTGACCGAGTTTCTGATGCAACAGATATAAATGCCAAAGTCCTCAGGTTTGATGAAACACTTGAGCGGATTCTTGACAGTCATGCACCCCTGAAATCCAGAGTGGTTGTTATACGCCCAAATACAGGATGGTATAATGAATATATCCGTGACTTGAAAAAGAAGCGCCGTGCCGCTGAAAAGATTTGGCGAAAAACACACCTAGAAATTCATCGTCAAATGTATTGCAATGCTCGCAATATGGTGAACAGTGAATTACGTTCCGCAAAGCAGGCATTCATCTTGAAAAACATTAAGGAGAGTAAAAACAATCCGCGCCAACTACACCTTCTCCTCAGTAACCTCCTCAAACGAAATTCCGACTGTTGTCTTCCTGAACACAGTGATCTGAAGAACTTAGCAGAGGAGTTTGTGACGTTCTTCTCCAGGAAAATTGAAGACATTCGGAGTGATTTGCAAAGTAGACAGGAACTGTGCACCATGGTCTCTGTTGAGGTTCCTTTCACAGGACAGCCACTCACCACATTTAGAACTCTTACAGGTCCCGATTTGAAGCTGGTCGTTTCTGCAGCAAACGTGAAAACATCATCTCTTGATGTTCTGCCCACCTGGCTCACAAAATCCACGTTTTCTCATCTACTACCAGCTGTATTGGACATTTTCAACTCTTCTCTTAGTTGTGGTGAAGTACCAAGTGTCTATAAGCAGGCTGTGATCACACCACTGTTGAAGAAACCAACCCTTGATGCAGACAATTTCAGAAACTACAGGCCAGTGTCAAATTTGTCCTTTCTGTCTAAATGTCTCGAGAAGATTGTTGCAAACAGAATTGTGGAACACCTTCAGCAACATGACTTGATGGAGCCCTACCAATCAGCGTACAGGTCAAAGCACAGTACAGAGACTGCGCTAGTCCAAGTACACAATGACATCATGACTGCCATGGACCAGCGTCAGGTGACTCTCCTTGTTCTTTGGATCTCTCCAGTGCTTTTGATACTGTTGATCACCAAATTCTTCTGCAGCGTCTGAAGGTCAGAGTCGGTATCGATGGAATTGTCCTTGACTGGGTACGTTCTTACCTATCTGATAGGTCACAGTCCGTCAAAGTGGAATCTGTACTCTCCACTGCATCACCACTCCACTATGGCGTTCCCCAAGGATCTGTCCTTGGACCTTTACTGTTTAGTCTGTACATTCTTCCCATTGGTGACATTGTCCGAAAGCACTCACTGAAATTTCATCTTTATGCTGATGACAATCAGTTATATCTGTCAGCGGAGCCTAACCTTGCTCAAGGTTGTGCACTGATGATACAACAATGTATTGCTGAAATAAGAGACTGGATGACCTTGAACTTTCTGAAATTGAATGACACAAAGACTGAGTTCTTAACCATCGGATCCAGGCATCAACTTTCCAAAGTGCCTGACAGTTTATCTCTTGAAATTGGACAAGATGTTATCACGCAGTCCGACTCTGCAAAAAATCTTGGTGTCATCTTTCAATCAACAATGTCATTAGAAAATCAAATCAAATCACTCAGCAAAGGATGTTTCTACCATATCTTCAATTTTAGCAAGATCCGAACCCTCTTAGACTTAGACACCGCCCAGCTTCTAACGACCAGCCTTGTTCTCTCTAAACTTGATTACTGCAACTCCCTCTATTACAACATTCCTCAACAGCTCCTTTCACAACTCCAATGGATTCAGAATTCAGCCGCCCGTGTTGTTGCCCGTGCACCACGCTACCAAACTGTGACACCTATCCTCCAAACTCTTCATTGGCTTCCTGTATCAAGCAGAATTCAATACAAACTTCTTCTTCTTACACACAGCTGCATCTATGAAAACATGTTTTCATAATATCTTAAAAGCCTCATTCATCTCCATGTTCCAAGCTGATTGCTCCGCTCATCAAACTCCCTACTGCTTACACAGCCTCACGTCAAAACAGCCATGGGATCAAGAGCGTTCTCTGCTGCAGCCCCCTATCTCTGGAACATTCTACCACTCACCCTAAAAGAAATAGAATCTGCTGATGCTTTCAAAACTGCCCTCAAAACTCATCTGTTCAAACTCTCTTTTCCATAGACATTGTCTACAATCTTTTCTCTTCATAGCGCCATTGAGCAATATCTTTTGGAAATAGGCGCTCTATAAATCAATTATTATTATTATTTATGTATGCTGTGTTGTTGTTTTTTATATGAATAACCAATAACTCCTTGTGTGCAGAGCACAGTGCACGATTGGATTGAGGGTTGAGTTTTGCTCACTGACTGCTGTTTGTATCCCACAGAATGACCACTAATTAAGAACTAATAACTCATTGGTATCCATGCTCCCCAATGCGGGCTGATGTGTGAGAACATTCCCGTCGCAGCGTTAATCTTTTATGATATCTTTGCTCTTAGTAAGGAATTCTTGAATGATTAGCTGTTTCCCCATTTCCATGAATTTTGTTTACTCTTCTTCACTGATTCCTTGGGTTTTACGAGTCTGGGTTTCATCCTGTGGTATTTGGAGAGTTCCGACAGCTCCAGACGAAACTCTTCTTCCGAGATTTTGCTATTGAGAGTGCTGTTTTTCTTTTGATCCTCAATCATGTTCAACTTCGATTCTGCCAGAACACGAATGCTGTCATGCTTCAACGCCTTCTTTTGAAGCTGGCGTGAAATGAATTTAAGAGCTAGTCCCACTAATCCCGAGGCCCCTGCCGCTATTTCCATGACAAGCATGATCAGGGTGGCGATGAGCGTGGACAATAAGCCGACCCTGACCGCACTGAGTCCCCATGCTGGTGGCTACGATCGTTGTGTCCGCTCCATCAATAGCATTGATGGCTCTGCGGTATTTTATATGTAATCCGATCCGTGAATCGCGTTCTTAATTGAGTTGATGTTTGATTTTTGAGTGACTTTGTCCATGACTGGATACAATCCCATCTTGATAATAATATAGGTTAGGAAATAACCTTCAAGTGGTTCTCTGACATTCTTTGATTACTATACTTAAGGCTGATTACGTTTAGATTGTCATATCAATAAGTAGGTGAGAGATAAATGGGCTCCTTTTTACCTAGATTATATACAAGAACCCCCACGAGTTTTGCAAAGGGGATTATTCCTGGTCATATATAAATACCACAACGTTGATGTTTATGTTCATTTGCCCAGCGTATTGTTACCCCCTTAAAAAGTAAGACATCTTCTGAGGGGGCATCTCCAAGATAAAGTTCCATGATAAGTGTAGAGTGTAATTTTATACTTATAACCGGATTTCAAAAATCCAATTGGTAATCAGCAATGTGAAATACAAATAATGCATATTTGTCAGTGGGGGCTAACATAGAGCCTGTATGACCTGGTATTCGCAAACCTTGTATCGTATCATTACCTTCCGGAGTAAAAGACATAAAAAGAATCCCAATATTTTTTACTTCGGTGACATAACTATAACCATTATTTACAAGTATATAGGGGCAGGTAAGGGTAATATTGATTAACCAGACGATTTGGGGTGATGAGATCAACATCCATTTGTCATCATCGGTGCATATCAGATGGTACAAGGGGTTTTTGGAGAGTCCCTTAGTCTCAACCTCTTTTAAATATCCTAGTATCACTTCTAGTCATCTGTACATATTATTTTGTAAGCACAAGCCGTATAAGGCGTTTCCCATGCAGGGTCAATCGAATCCTTGCGTGTCCCGAGAACACGATGGTACGACATGGACTAAGGTTTTGTGCACCTGAAACGTCGACTATGATAATGCTAGGTTAGGAAATAGTCTTAAATTGGTTCTCCGACAATTTTTCGTGCGTAAACTTTAAGATCATGCGATGTATCTTGATTGTAGAAAAATCTTTGTGAGCGTGATTTTCTTCTCCAAGTTATTCGTAACCCCCTTGAGACGTCTTTCTGTATGTAAATTGCACAAACGTGATGTTGACGTTTTCGAGGCCAACGTAGTTTTAACCCAACGTAGTTTTGTAAGACCTCTAACACGTCTTCAAATTCAAGCACCAACATTATCTATAAACTCTTATCAGGGTTATCCGGTCGACTCGCTAGCAAAAGACCTGCTTTTCTCTGGATGAGGCTAACGAGCACACTCCATCTTTGTTATGGCACGTAAGACCATTAGAATCCCATTATTGATGACTTTCGTCAAATAATGACCCTTAGTCTCCGCAAACACATAGGGAGAAGCGAGGGTGATATTAAGTAGCCAGTCGATTCTGGGTGAGATCAATGTCCATTGGTTATCATCGGTAAGGTTCAACTGGTACAACAATGTTTTTTAAGAGACCTCTGTTCTCGACATTGTCTAAATTGCCTAGATTGCCATTGAATGCTGGGACCATCACCCATGTATTATTGTTGTTGTGGATGAGATTGTCATGCATGTTTTTTTTATGAGTCGCCCGGTCTCGACATTGTCTAAATCTCCCAGGTTAACACCTCCACCGATGGCGGCACCTTGCACTCGTCTGTAAACATTGTTCTTAATTCTAAGGCGTATAATTTGCCTTCAACACCGGATTCGTCAAACCCTCGCGTGTCCCCGAGATTGGTGATCGCAATGGTAGGGCACTTTCTCGGACGATGCATTCTGGGACCAGAAGCTTCGACCATTACTCAGCCATTATTTGATGTGCAGCATCAAGGTTAGATATCCTATATATACCAGTTTATGATTTATATCTAAAACAGAGACTTGGAGTTCCATGATCATGCCCGGCGTTAATTTATGTACTGTAAGAATGGAAACGATTCCATTCTCCCATTGTTGCACTTCTCGTGCTTTACTGCCACAGCAAATGAAGATTGTGGTGGATGCTGATGGTTCCCACTTTCGAGCTTGGTTTATGGATGTATTTAAACATTATAGGTTTTCTGTCACGAGTGAGAAAATGGTACACACTTGGTTTTTGAACCCAATGCAATTCTGGAAAAATCAATTCAATTTTGCCGTGTGGTGTGCAACAACGGGGTGTGGTGTGGATTTGAACGACACTCTTCGTGATCCACTGAGTCAGTCTGTGTTCTTGTTTCAAGTGTACTACCAGATCAGGCGTATCCTGAATGGAATAAGTGCACTGATTCCCCAGGACAAGGCGTGGGACGCGATGAACAATCCTTGTGATCAGCGTGCGTACGAACGAATTTGCGGTGAATTTGAAATAAATACGAATGCCAGGCGTGAATCACAGTTTGGGCATTCTGTACAGTGGAGCACACACTGTTAAAGAAGTCAGCGATGATTTACTGAAAAGAGGTTTACTTCGACAGGACTTTGCTCTTTCGAGTAATGAAAGGAGAGATGACCGTATGAATTTCATAGGTGGCATTGCTTTCACTGTCCAAAAGGTTGAGCAACCAAAAGGCTCCGAAGACGATTGGAAAATAATAATGTCGGATACGTCGATATGGTTTTCTTGTCCCAGTGTCGTCAGACTGAATGACCTGATTCCGACGATGCTACCGAGGATTCCAGGAAGAGCTTCCGCGGCTTTCCAAACCAGTTTTGCAAAGGCCTCCCCTAGGGATATAAACGTTTCTTACCCATTCTTTCACACCACCCTTGTCAATAGGTGGTGGTAGGGTAGGTGTTGGGCTTGGAGTGGTATCACGACCACCGGCCAGAGAGACGACTAAAGTCGATATGATGATCTTGAGTGTGGTCAAATTATACTTATATGTGTATGTGATTATGGATGCGAAACTCAAGGTACGAGACGGAAGGTTCGTGGAAGCCATCTATTGAGCTGCCCATGGAGCCGTATTGTGCCATTGTGTGCGGTCAGATGGGTTGTGGGAAGACTGCTTTTGCATTGGATTTGATCGAAGGGTATTTTCGGAATGTTTTCAATCATATCGTGATTCTTTGACCTACTTTACGCATCAATAATACGTACATGGAGAGAGCCTTGGTGATGAACAACCCTGAGGTGCATAAAGTTGATCTGGGAACGCGTCTGCAGGACTAGCTAAACTCCTTTCAAGACTAGTTTAAAGGAGAATCGACACTGTTTATCCAAGATGATTGCAGTGCGAATAAAGAGATCACCCAAAAAAGAGATATGTTATTATATTTAGCCTCAAAAGAGACCAACACGTGGCTTATATGGTGTGCTAGCTTAGCAAATTCAAGCAAAATCAAACACACTCCTTTGTAAATTGTTATGAGAGTGTGTTTTTTTGTAATGTGTAATTTGTAATATTACATTGATTAAGTGATAATTATTATGGGTCACAATGTTTAAAGTTTTGAGTGTGGATTGTGGATCAGCTCTCGCATCATATATGTTCAATGGCAAAAGTATTTTTAGCGGCACGCCTTTTTGAAAGCACTTTAGAGTTGCCTCCCTGGCAATCTTGTATATTTACCGTTTTCATCATAGCGTTTGTTCCACCAATTTTGTGAACATTTTGAGTGGATAATGATGCTACCTAACTTTGCTAGAATGCACGAGAACTGTGTAAGAGCTGTATAAAGGCTGGTTGTTGCACACACAGACTTATTACATGACTGGAGTTAAACACATCTGTCTGCCGTCATCAAGCTGATACATCTGCCTACTGTCGTCAAGTCTGTCTGTTAACATTTCAAGACCATGCTTATATATATTCAACTACTGTCATTGTAATCAACCTCAAATCTGTATATCTGTTCTCACTGTGAATGTCAAGGCTCTGGTGAGTTAATATTTATATTTGTGACCCAATATTTTAGATTTGTGACTCAATGGCATTGTACTAGGTATCTGTGTTGTAATTCATTGTAACTTGCTCATTGTTTGTTCAATATATTATTGAATAAGTTAGACTTGTCTGTGTTCTTTTTTGCTGGTTCAAAGGGGACTCTTAAACCTTTTGTCACGGAATATATTAACCGTAATAAAATTGGGGGCTCGTCCGGGATAGACTTCATTTGACATTTGAGACCTATTGTGAAAAATATTTCATATTTCTGCAATTTTGCAAACAAGTAAATTGTGAAACCAGCAAAATGGTGTTTGAACTTGAGAAGTTTCTGAAATCCCCTACCCCTGAAACTGTGAGAAAATTTCAGATTTTGAAAAATATGTTGAATCACTTTATTGATGAGGGAGTTTTTGGGCATGAAGTTTGAGAAATGGTGAAAGAAGAAAATTAAGAAATTTTTGAGATGAAAAAGCTTGAAATCCAACTTCAAATTCAAAAGGAAGAAATGTAATTGAAAAAGTTGGAAATGGAGAAGAAATAGAATTCGGAAAAGAAATAGAATTAAGAAAACTGGAAATTGACAGAGAAATTGAACTGAAAAAGCTTGAAAACCCTTCTCATCCCTCAAACCATTCCTCTTTTGACATTGCAAGGCATGCCAGACTGGTATCCCCTTTTAATGAGAAAGAAGTAGAAACATATTTTCTACATTTTGAAAGAGTTGCTGAAAACCTCAAGTGGCCTATGGAGTCATGGATTATGCTACTGCAAACTGTTTTGAAGGGTAAAGCTCAAAATGCTTATTCAGCCTTGTCGATACAGCAAAGCTCAGACTATGATCTTGTCAAAAGGACACTTTTAAAAGCTTATGAGTTAGTGCCTGAAGCTTATCGTCAGAAATTCAGAAATGCTCATAAAAGGGACAATGAGACTTTTGTAGAATTTGCTAGAGAACAGCAAACTTTGTTTGACAGTTGGTGCGGGTTTAAGGAAGTCACAGATTTTGATGGTTTGAGACAATTAGTTTTGATGGAGGATTTCAAGCAGAGTGTTCATTCTGATCTCAAGACTTATTTGGATGAACATAAGGTTGATGACTTACATGAGGCATTGTTTGACTCACAAGAGTTCTCTTAGGTCTCCGGGTAATACCAAGTTTTCTGGCCAAAGGTCTTTTCCCAGGTAAGACTTCAGGATATGCAGGTTTCAGTTGTGTTAAAACAGGTTCAAATTCTTCTGACAAGCAGTCACATTCTTTTCAGTCTAATCCTAAGACTTCCAATGGTTCTGATCCTGTTTGTGCGTATTGTAAGAAGCCAGGTCATTTGATTTTTGCATGTTACAAACTCCAGTTTAGAAATAAGACTGCAGGTTCCCAAAACTGCTTTTGTGTCTATCGCACCTAAGCCTCTCTTTCCGGGTAGGTTCCAAACTTACAGCCGAAACAAACGCCATTTTATCTGCTCTTAAGTATATAAATAAACAATCCAAATATAAACAATACACAATGTTTTTCAGATTCTCTTTCTTGCCTTCAGGCTATTAACCATATGTCAGATAAACATCCACTTTTAATTGAAATACTTGAATTGCAAAATGATCTTGTTACTGGCCAATATGACATCGTCTTTTGTTGGTTACCCAGCCATGTTGGAATCACTGATAACACAGTGGCCGATTCTGCTACAAAGGCCGCTCTCAACAAATCTGTAACACCGCTTCTGATACCTTACTGTGATTATAACCAGGTGAATAGAACCATATATGCATAGAGACAAGCAGCAAATTAACAACAACAGGTAATTTAGCAGGTAGCACATCGTTGGATGGGACCAACAGGAAAGTAAGATCAACTAATTGTAAACAGGCTGATTGGAAGCTAATTGAACACCTGATTGACAGATTCTATATGCAAATCAACTTCAGTATGACAAGTCCAAATCCAAACCTACTCCATTGTCCAAGTGATGGAATCAATCAACATTCAATCAGCTTGTTTATCCTGAACGATGTACATCGAAATGCCCATCTATGCAATGAACAGGGAGTTGTTATCACGTAGGTGGTATGTCTCGTTATGTATCCCCATACTGTTTACTGCAGTATGTGTGAGATCTGCTTCAGTTTGCGAATGACCAATCTTTTGAAGTTGATTTAAGTTCTACTTTAGTTAACTGCCACCAAACAAATTGAGTGACACACACACAACATACGTAATTTGAAATATCTAATTTGATAAGAAACACTATTTAAATTATCTTCCTCACTCTGAGAGAAGCATGGCATTATTCGTTCATTTTTAAATAATTTTATCTGCATAAAAGAAGGGATTATCAAAAATGTGAAACAAACTTCCGTATACTATCATTTCACCTACATTGCGAAGTTCAGTTTGATTTCAATGTCATACTATGCAAGGTTCCTCATTTACACATACATACAAACTGACAGCTCAACACAAAACGATATGCAATCAGCCAAGTTCAATACAATACAACTTTCTCCACCTGTGCATACCACACTGTTGACGAATCTCTCAGTTGTATTAGAGTGATAATCACATCACGACATTTAGAACAAACCTACAGCTCAGCAGATTAAAATTAACTTACTTTTTTATAAGAAAAGCAAGATTTATTGATGTTAACTTCTTTATTGTGAATAATACAGCGTTTCGGAGCATATGTTTGCACCTTCATCAGGTAAAAATCAGGTCACAATAAAGAAGTTGACATCCATAAATCTTGCTGTTCTTATGCATTCCACTTTTGAATGCCCATCAAAGATTTAAGTTACTTCCAGAGGCTTCCTTGAGAGGCATAGAAACTTGGAACTTGGTTTTCCTTCCAGAAGCTGTCTTAACTGACTTGACTCACTCATCAATTAACAAGGTATTACGTCTTGGGGCGTACAAAGAACAATCATTTACCATCACCTACCAGTTATCTCCCCTTGTGGACATTTCGAAAATTGGAAATTTCTTGGAAACCTCATCTTTTTCAAAACTGGAAATGTCTTGGAAACCTCATCTTTCCAATACATTTCCAAACTTTTAAACGTGGACTTTCTTTTCCAGTGTTCGCATTTGAATATAGTGAACCTATTAGACATTT